CCCCCCCCGTCTGTGCTCATGGTTCTTGCCACTTCCCATTGTATGCCTTCTAAATTTTTCCATGTTCCTTCGAAGCCTCATTTTTCTAACCCTTAATAAAAATATCTGAGAACTCATGATCTTCTCAGAGGTATGAATAAGTTTCCTCAAAATCTGACATGTTTCTACATCGCTCATAATTGATATGTTTCTTTTCATGACTTGGACATGTACTTCAATGCATCTATGAGAACTGTGAAGCTGTATCACTACAACCCCTGTTAGCCACTGCTGTACATGTGCCACAAGCCATCATGTCCTGCTCTGAAGTAAAGTGCAGTATTTCTTTATTCCTAGTGGGGTGGGACTAAGTCCCTTGTACTGTGGCCACTTCTGGCCTATTGTACCAGCCCCAGATGATAGGTGAGGGTGATTGTGGAGCAGTTGGTGGAATGAAGATTGGCAGGGGAAACTGAAGTACTCGGAGAAAACCTGCCCCAGTGCCACTTTGTCTACCACAAATCCCACTTGACCAGACCCAGGATTGAACCTGGGCCACCGCGATGGGAAGCCAGCGACTAACCGCTTGAGCTATGGCGTGGCCAACGTACAGTAAGTGTGATAGGAGTACGTGCGCAGAGAGAAATTTTGTTGTCTTGTTACCTGGATTTATAAGTACATGGCCAAAGATACTACACTTGTGAGGTAAGTATGTATTTATTTTCATTTTCCATTGTTTCTGTTTCATAAGGATGACTGTATATATTACAGGGGTTTAATGCATTTTGTAATTTTGATTTGTTTCATTTTGGTCCATCACACTAACAATATTATAAAAAGTTAAACAGTTCCATCCAGTGTGACTGGTCACCAGTCACACTGGACGGAAATGTTTAACTTTTTTATCACTTTGTAGTATTACAATGATCAAACCAAGGACAATGAGATGGGAGGATAATATAGCATGCACGTTAGAGACGAGAGGTGCATATGAAGTTTCATGCAGGAAACCAGGAGGAAATCACCTGTGACACTTATGCAAAGATTGAAGATAGTATTAAATTGATCCTAATTAAGGGGTATTTTACTCGTGACGATTTAAAATTAAATTCAATTTTCCCGTCAATCCGTTTAGCAGATCGCGGTCAAATTTCACATTACTGCTTTCCAACTAACGCCGCATCTTCGCACAAAGTTTCATTTGAAAATGTGTGTTAAAAAAATGAGGTTGGGGGATGTGGACTAGATATTTTGGCTCAGGACAGGGACCAGTATTTGGCTCTTGTGAACATGGTAATCAACTTTCTGGTTCCATAGATGACAGGCAATTTCTGTAGTAGCTGAGAGACCATCAGCTTCTATAGAACACTGCTCCATTCAGTTGTTAGCTAGTATGGATTTGGAAACTTTTTGGCATAACAAATCAAAATTTGATTCATGAGGAAATTAAGAGTAAAGGAAGTTCGGGAACACTCACTACCATTCAGTTGGTATAGCAATGGATTGGTCTTGATAGCTGAAGTAAGAGATTTCTCTCTTCTCTACAGCATCCAGACTGGCTGTGGGGTTCACCCCACCTCCCGCCCAGTGGGTCCCGCGAAATATTTCCCTGACGAAAGAGAAACTGATGTGTGAAGCTGACCATTCACCTCCATCTAGTGCCAAGCTCAAGAATGGTGCAGCTGTACCTCCACTCCACCATACATCTTCATGGCATGGTGCTTTTCCTTTCCTTACCTTTTGCCTTCCTGTCTGCTAGCCAAAGACATGCATAATTTTGCTTGTAGTTTTGAAAGGGCTTGAAACTTGGAACTCCATACATAACATGTGGATTTTCTGTACACCAAAAAGTCTTGAGTGTTCACGTGTCTATTGAAGCAAAGCTGGAAAATGTCAGGATGCCACCGTGAACTGACTGAAGACAACAAAAAATATTGCTTCATATGCCTGTGTGGCTTTGTAAAACCATAGCTTCAGTAATTCTGTTGAGGTTCTTGCAAAATTCCCTTATCATTATACAAATGTTATGTGATGTGTAATTCCTCAGGGAACTATCAGAGAAAACCCTTGGTTTAAACCTTTAAAGTCCTGTGGTTAGTATATATACCACCTGCTTTAACACACTAAAAGTCTGAATTCTGTCCACAGAGTGTATTTGTGTTTCATATGGTGCTCACAATAAACGATTCTTCCCAAGCAGCAATGGCTTGTTGGTCATTGTAGCTGAGATATGTTTTCTGTGCGGTATGAACTGAATTTTATCTCGTATTATCAAGATATTCTCTCTCCAGAGTTCCTCGCAGGAACAATGTTCAGAATCTTGTCAATAAAGAAAGAATGAATGGAATGTTAAAAAACATGAAATCAAAATGTCAGCGTTGAGTACTAACACAAGAAGAGTTGGATAATGTCAGAGCTCAGCTAGCAGTCACCATGGAAGACTCTTATGTGTCTTGCACAGGAAATGGGAATACCATAAGGATCAGAACAAAATTACTGAGACTACAACCTCAAAAAGGGATGTCAATTGTGTTCTATGTGCAGCCATGTGGCTAGTAATGTCCCTAACTGGCAACTTCAGTCAGTTCATGATGGCAAAAACTTGACCCAAAATTCACAGTTGAAAAAAAAAACTTTATAGCATTTGCATGGATACATGGACAGAAAACAAGTTACTGGAGCACAGGAAATCAACGTTCTGTATAGCACTCCATTCTACAATGTAAATGTTGGTATTAGCTGTGGTCTGAGAGGATAGCATTAATGCCGAGATACATTATGTACATCAAGGAAACCCCAATATCCTGCAACCCACTATATTACTCACATACATGTATGTGAGAGAGTACGAAAGATGGCAAATCTGTGCAGTAAGCATGCACAGAAAAAAAAAAGAAAGTTATGCTTCTGCCCAATTTCTTCTTACAATTTAGTTCTTGCATTGGTACATTTGTACTGAAGATTATTACACTAATACAATATATAAACAACAAAAAGAAAAGGGCATAAATTACAAAAACTAACACTAACAAACGTTTATTCTAAGCAAATCAATTGGGAGTCGAGATTTTGCAAAATTGATTTTGACTAGCCAAAAACATGCATCATACCAAAAACTGTGTGAAGTGATAAAAGTAAATGGGCTTATGAATAAGCATCTGAGACTTGGCAGAGTTCAATTCAGTGTAATTAAAAATGTATTAAGACCTTAAATACATTCAACTCTCAAATGCAACAGCACATTTATAGATTAATTTAAAATCAACACTAAACATTTCTAGCCTTAAAGGGTCATCTTCAGGTTTTGTTAAATACACAATTACCGACTTTGTAACATGTGTCCTTATATCACTGTAACACTCTATAGTTTGTGCAGCAACGACTGCACAATGTGGTTACATTACAGCACCAAACATCTCTTTATGCATCGACAGCTTCATCCTAAACAATTTGAATGCATGGTGCAATATTTCAAGTTGTAATTAACCTCTAAGTTATCCAGAAGCAGGTGATTTTACATCTCCCACTTCTATGGGTCTGGCAGTGATATTTTACCTCAGTGTGTGTGCGCATGCACGCGTGTGTGTAATGGCACTATTCAGTTAGCTGTACCTTGTAATGCACCAATGCTAAACTTAGCCAATAAATGTTAATGAGAACAGGACTGGGAACAGGAAAGAAATGAGTACTGTAACCAAGTATAAATATACAAGTTTATTGCTTACAAGAAATAAGACCATTATACATATCTATACACTTATACTTACACTGCAGGGCTTAATTTGTGAAGAGAATGGTTGAAAATGGGCGGTAGTGGTGCATGAAAGCACCAGAAATGCTTTTAACTTCAATACACAACCTTTCATTAAGGGATTATACAATTTGTCATCAGAGTACTGGAGTGTTCTATCTCCACTTCCGGGAAGAAAGAGATAATGCACTTTTCTGATCCCCCATACGGTGCTGCACTCTCTCTCCATGCTTCCACTGGTTGAACTTACTTGCAAAGTGTGAGATTTCAGAATGTATTTTGTTCCAAGTAAAGTAAAGGTATCCCTGTTATAGGTCATGGAGGCCCATAGGGTTGTGAGATGTTGAGGTTCTCACATTTTCTAGACAATCGGCTCATAGATGGTGGCAAGGTTGTCAGCCCTACGCGCCAGCCGCCCTTTACCTCCAAGAATATTCCTGGTACTCATTTCTCTTAGAGGCTGAGTGGACCCCAGGGCAACAGTGCGGCTGGAAGGATTAGGTCAATTGAAAAAAGTCCAATGACCTCATCAGGATTTGAATCGGCGACCTTCCGGCTGGTAGCACAGTGCCTCAACTAACCATGCCACTGTGTGCCCTTTTAAACTGCAGTAGTGGCTCCCTACATTCAAATCCAGTTTCCAGAAAATGGGTGTTGACAGACACACTATACTCCAATACTCAGGTGATAATATGTCCGACCCCACATGATGATATGACAATTTACTTCGACACCTTCACTTCTGTGCTGCGATATCACAAGTGCAGATGAGGGAGCAGTCACAAATCACACACACAAATTTGGAACATTTCTGCTCTTTGCTCCTCCTTAAATGAGTAGGAACTAAAACAGCAAGCAATAAATAGTATTTGTACACAGCATCGAATGCTGACTAGATGAGCAGGCAGTGGCTATTCTGTCCTTCAAGTCTCAAAGTGTTTGTAAATGGCTGTCACATAGGCCATCACCTGCTGCCAGTCAGGACGTTCCAGCTGGATCATGTCTGTCACATTCTGCAACCAAAGATTGACATGGGAAAACCATCAGAGAATGAAATTCTATCAGTCTCAAGAATACATAAGATGACGAACAGTAGATACTAACAAGTGTTGTAGGAATTCCGACAGATTCAGCCGCTGCAAATGCAATGGTGAAGTTGCGCCGTTTCTCACTGGGGGTGAGGGAGTCATAAGGCACCCTTTCAGGCAGGTAGGAGTGTAGAATGGCACAGAGAGCAAGCCCATCATTCCAGCTGCTACTGAAGTTGGTGATGTCAATGTTCCGGTAGCCAACCGTTTTATTCTGGCACCACTTCAACAACGCATTGCGTTTTGAGCCACCATTTTTCACTAAAGCACTCAGTGGATCCTTTCGTTCACCTGAAATCAGCATGGCAATTGATTGAGGGTCTTGTGGTGGTCATTATGATGGTTAATGTCTTCTAGGATGTGATACTGTGCAGCCTGGCAGTGTCACATCCCAGCACACAATAATCTCCAATGTTATAACTAAGACACGCAGTTCAACATTCTGTGAGAATAAATAAAGAAATCAAGAACTTGACTGTACTGGGCCATCTGCTACATTTCTGATTCACAAGGAGTCATAACATACTAAGACCCAGGCCTCTCAGTGCCTGTAGCCTAGCCACTTTCCAAAGTTTAGAACAGCTTCTTACACATGCAACTTCAGAATTCAATATTTGGTAGTTCAACCTCTTCTGTTTGTGGAAAAGAGAAGTGGTACCATCTGCATAATATCTACAGTTTCTAGGGGCACATGTCAACAAAGAAAAAGTGAACTGCATCAAAATTAAGTTTTAAAGCTCCAGGTCATGGGATATGGTTACGTATATTGTGACGCTACAGTTCCCTGCAGCACTGCTGTGGGTGGAGTTGTGCTGCTTACAACAAACTCCTTATCCAGTCTGTATGGGGAATGTTATGGTTACATGAATCTGCTAGTTGCACAGGAATAACTTCAAATACTCACACATTATACATATTTTAATTGCCCTGTTTTATAATTTTTGTAATGATGAAATTCTGTAACCTGAATGTCCGTAAGTGGTGACACACTGTAAGTTCTTAACTGAGTAATAAAATCAGTTCTGTAAATATAATATTATACATGAACTATAATAATTTCTGTAAAGCACCTGACATACTTAAGTCTCCATAGCTGTTTCTGTGAACCAGGTCCATGGTCCTGTTTGTGAGGATGGAAACAGGGCTGGGTGCAGACACATCCTCATCGTGGGTCAGGCTCGTCTTGTCTACGCAACATAACATCACAACAAATCATGCACATGCACAACACATAACATGCCCTTGTGTTTGTATTTTAGGGAGCATCTGTGTTTGCTGCAATGGCTTATGCAAAGCAAGGAAGTGCAACTGGATCATGTATCAACTGTTAGTGTCAGCTGTGTCTGTCATTCATGCTAATAGCTGGAAAATATACATCACGTGAATCTATACAGAACAGAGCTCTAATGCTTAATGAAAACAAACTAGAACGCCACTCACAGGTACGCTTGCTGCACTTCCATAGAGAACCTCTTCAACTAACTAACTGAGCAAACAACTCACTAACTAAACTAGCTTCACCAACAAATTAAACTAACCAATCATCTACCCACACCCACTCTGCTTGCTATCTACTTCCTGCTGGTTTCTTGCTTGGTTTAGTCTTTGACCATGAAGATGAAGGTGACACGTTCTTCCAGAATATCAATTCATTTTCAAGCTTACAGTGTTACATCCAAAACTGCAGTAGCAACTTTAGCATACTGGCATCTACTGCTGCCATCATCAGACACTATGTGGAACTACTAACAACTGACTGTTACATAATGACAATAAGAATACAATGGACAAGCCTCTGGCTTTCATGTACTTGGCTATGTGTACAACATGTCATCTAATATTCAAATTTACTGTTCTACATCAGTGGAGAATAAGAAGGAAAGCCAATGTTAAGAAACAAACTGAAAGGTATTTCTAATCATAGGCCTTAACGTATCTGTTAAGTCCCGAGTGTCTCCCACGTCTGGAAGAGACGGGGAGAACAAGAGTTGCCGGGATCTCACCTGCAAGTGTGTTCTTGCGCAGGGGCTGCAGCTTGTTGGAAATAGTGCTGCTGCTATTGGTACCACTGTTGTTTACTTGGTTGTTGGCTTGCTGTTGGTCCCTCAACGGTGTCTTTGTTGTACTGTCTAGTGGCTCAGTTGCCAGCCGCCGCCGAGGGGACGTGGGTGTTGGAGGAGCCCCACTGGCAATACTGCTCAGACTTGACGTGGAGCTGCTGCGACTGCCAGGACCTGACACAAAGCAAGAAAAGTGAAATCACAGTCCTCATATCCTTAAGGATCGCTCTTCTATGAACCTGCCAAGCATCATGAATTACTTATGCTCTTACTGCAAGTCAAATTAAAGAAGAATGCAGTGCAACTGGCTGTCCCAGAGATGATGGTAGAACTTGAGACATGTACACAGATCACCACACTCTGAGGTTATCATGGCAGTGAATAAACATTATTGTAATTTATTAGAAAGTTATAAATATTTCAGAGGAACTTCCTGCCTTTGTCTTCATGGCAGAAGCAGCAGCATGTGACAATAACACATCCACTATGGCTCTAATATGCATACATGAATTTGAGTTGAGCTTGTGAAGGATGGAGTCAGTATCAAGACTATATAAAGTGCTGATGATAGGATGATTAATGAATATGGATCAGTTGGTGGAATGAGAATTGGTTAAGAGAAACCAAAGTATTCAGAGAAAATGCGCTCCAGAGCCACTTTTTCCACCACAAATCCCATGACTTGACCTGCGATCAAACGTGGGCCACAACAGTGGGAAGCCAGCAACTAACTGCCGGAGCTACAGCACAGACGCCAAACCAGAAGAATGTGTATTTCTGCTGTTGCAAAAATTCTTCATGCAAAATTGGATATTAATTACACAAAAGTGTTTACATTTAACTGAGGAGTCACAAAACAAACAGTTGGTGAATTAAGTTAATGGTTCATTGGAACAGCCGGACACAAAAGTCTCTGAAGAAACAAATATAAGTCATTGTGCCTGGTATAATACTGAACCTGCCTCAAGACTGAAATTCCTTGTACGAGCTCCTATAATGCCAGCAATGAAACAAAGCAAACATCTCTTACCGGAGCTCGAAAGCAAAACATGGAAGCAGCAGACTCCTCCAAACTACTTGGTGTCAGATGCCAGTAAACCAAATACTAACTACTTTATGCTTTGCACGGACAGGCTGCTTGATGCTTAACAAATTCTGCTGACTCTCTCACTTTCTGTTAGGCACACTCACCTGCCTTGGCCTGCTTGGTAGCGTTCTCGATACTCTCAATAAGAGACTTAACAGACAGGCGGCTATCTTGACGCGAGACACCCGCCTTGTGCTGCCGTCGTACTGCTGCCATTTCTTGCTGCACTGAAGTTATGAGAGAGCTACTGGAGTCTGTCGTCACTACAGGAAACTGTGTTGCCACGGCTGGCCCAGAAGACACTACAGTTGGGTGTTTCTGTGATGCTGCAACATGAAATAGATCATAAACAATCCAGACTATAACTCCTGGAAAGATACATTAGGTGGTGTTAGGTTGGAATTAGAAAACTGGTAAAAAAACGAACAGCTGTAAAGATCTGAACAAAACACACATAAGTTGTGAAGAACATCTGCAGTACATGTACAAAAAGTCTTCCAGTTTGGTTGATTCACTACACAGACAAATGACGTACCACATCCAAAGAAGTTGAGATCATAGTGGTAAGCTGTAACAACTGATCCCACATTTAAAGTAGATTTTTTTGCCATTATCTCATGCTAGTCATCCTTGTATTTATGACAAACAGTACAACATGAAGACATGAGTCTTGTGCATGAAGCAGAGGCAAGAGAAACAGCAAGGTGCCAGAAAAAAAATGATCCATAAATTAAAGGTGACCAAAATGTTGCCTGCTTACCAGATCTTCAAACATTTTTTCTCAGTCAGTCAAACTGCTGATGAGACTCGGCAGCACAGTAATTCTTGGTTTTCGGTCCAGCTGGGAACCATGACCACATTTTTTCTCCCCCAAGAATTTTTCATGCCTTGAAACGTGGTCTCCTCTTTGAGAGGAGGAGTCCGACTATTACTGGTCACTTCCCTTCTACTGAGTAGTGATTCCTGTTGGCTCTCACTCGCTCTATCACCACTGTCTCACTCCTAACTCATTTTTTTAATGAAGTTCACAGGATCATTCTTTTCTTTCTGGTTTGAATGCCTGATTTACTGCTCCAGTCTCTTGAATAAATATTAAAACATTTGATGACATGTTGCATTTTTACTCAGAATTACTTGGTTTTAACTTTGTCCATTGGCCAGTATTCTAAAAACTAGAAAACGCAATGTTTTGGAAACTGGATCTGTTTCTGTCCCAGGATGAAGGGGGGAAGACACCTGCTCCATTGAACCCAGTGACTGAGGTTAACTCTTTCTATGGGACTGAACTATGTAGGTGTCTTCCCTCCTTGAACAGAAACAGATCCAGTTTCCAAAACATTGTTTTTTTCTAGTTTCTAGAATACTGGCCAATGGACAAAGTTAAGACCAATAAGCATTTCGTTACTGATGCTCATTTTGCTCCCAACAGGGCCTTTGCCTAAGAAGGTCATGATACATACAGACACCAGATTACTTGTCTTTACACAGCAGAGGACTCAATTTCATTATACACTTCCACACATCTGAGTGCCCATGTTACTTGTGGCCTGCCTAGAGAACTAGGTCAGTTCTTCACCTTACAAACACTTCAACCTGAACATGTAGACAGCACATTCTTCTGAAATTTTGGTATCTGCCTACAAAACTACACAGTGTCACAACCAGGAACATCACAATCTGAATGAATTCCTTTTGTTCCACACATACTATTCTCTACTAAAAATACAAAAGGGTTGTATGATACGACTGCTGTCATGTTTACTTCCTGTATAGCGTACACAATATTTTTAATGTTACACGCATTTCTGTGCATTACCGACAAGTGTCTTGGGTGGGAAAACACAAATTACTGAATTCTGGCAGTTGATGAACAAAACAACATCATCAGAATGGCAAAACCTGATGGTTTGTTGGCACTATCATGCCCGTCCACATCACAAACATAACCACAAAGCAAGCGGACATCACAGTCTGCTGACACAGAACACAAAGTTGCTGAAGAGACTTACAGGTGTGTGCAGGGCTGGATCTGGGCCTTGACAGGTGTGGCAACTGCTGCCTCTCATTGTTCAGAGGTGAGCTGAGTGCAAACTTGGCAATGCGGCTGCATGATTTTTTTATTGACTCTGGAAAGCTCCACTTTATGTCATAAAGAGACTGTTTGTTGGCGGCTTCCAGTTGTCCTTGAGGTCTGATGCCCTGTGTCTGTGCTGTACCTCGACTTCTTGGAATGACTGCAGTGGAGGGACTGTCTACAGCTGTAAGTGTCCCACAATCCTGATCTGTGGGCTCTGTCACATGATATGATTTGGGTGCTCTGAACAAATCTTCCTCCAACCTCAGTTTCTCTTTGGACTCTTCAGACTCTGACATAGGTTTATATCTACTTTGGTCCGAACTGTTTCCGGGTTTAAAAAAGCCAGGGAGTGATGGAAATGTGGTCCCACGATCTGTTTTCCAGCTAAAAGCATTTGACTTCAGTTTGAGTGGAGTAAACTCATTCTTTTTTCTACTCTTGCCATTCTCAAACAAGAGCACAAAGTTAGGGACACTGCTTGACAGAGTTACGTCTGGGCTAGAGAGAGACTGGCAATTCCTAGCACTTTCTGCCTCCCATGAATAAAACAAATTAGGGTCACTGTTAGAAAATACATGAAGTTTTGATTTTGCAACTCTCACATCACACATCTCAATTTCATCATTCACATTATCACCCTCTTGCAGCAAAAGAGAGTCGCTGTTTGCAACACCGATACGCCCACTGGAGTCTGGTTGATCAACATTACTCACGTTCCTCTCGTCACTTCCGAACTGAAAATGCAGTGGAGTGGGGTCGCTGGTATATGAAGATACGTGTGCTTCAGATGATCCCGCCTGTTTCTTACTGCACGCACTCTCGACATTGTTCTGCTCATCATGCTCGCATGCCTCATGGACAAGACACAGACCCACCAGACTGTGCGCTTCTGAGGTACAGTGACTCAGCTCTGGCCATTTCTTGCTTTCTGTGAGTAGTGTCAGGTTGGGCAGGCTGCCGGCAGAAAGGGGCTGACTGGACATATGTGGACGCCCTCTCCGAATTCCTATGCTACTTTGTGTTGGTGCACATTCCTGCGCCAACTTAGCACCAAAACTGACATGCAACTGACCTAAGAGGTGAATCAGAAGACACATCCTGCAACTGAAACCTCTAAACAAGTAACACACAGGTCAGCTGCATCTCCTCGTGGGAACATAGAGAGTCTTTCTAAATTGAAACAAAGTGCACTGGCAGATACAAGAGATTGTTCATTCACAACATAGGCTCTTCTTCTCGCAATGTACAGTGCTGACAGTGGTCATGAAATAAGATGGCAGATTTCTGAATGCCCCCCCCAGTCATTGCAGCACAGTTACTGACGTGGGACTAATGAAGGAACTGTCACAGTTTGTAATTATGGATCCCATGGGTAGAACAAACAGAACATCTGCGAAACTGAAAACAGCCTAATACATAGGTAAGTCAATAAGTAAGTTACAATAGAACTTAAACAAATAAGAGTACTGATTTGAAAAATGCTTTTGTTTCTCAACATAATCTCCTTGTACCCTGAGGCACTTGTCCCATCGTTTTACAAGCCCCTGAAAACCATCAGCATAAAATTCTCTGGGCTGCTGTCAGAACCAGGCGTGTTCACACGGCATGGCCTACCTCATAATGCATGGCAGGTTGCATGCTTCTGTTGAATGGCCTTACGAAGTTTTCTGAGGATGTCACAGTAGGAGTCGGCATTTATGGTTTGTCCTTGAGGCTGCAATGCAGTGAGCAGTATGCCTTCGTGATCCCAGAAGACTGTGAGCATCACTTTCCTGGAGGATGGTGTCACCTTAAACTTTTGTTTTTGGCAGGTGACGCAGGATGTTTCCACTGCATTGTCTTGGGCTGGTAATGGTGAACCCAAGACTCATCATCTGTGACAATTCGGGCTAGGATATCATTTCCTTCATCATGGTAGTGACTGAGATGCTGTAATGCCAAACCCATTCTTTGCATTTTGTGTTGTGGGGCCAGCATGCGTGGCACCCATTGTGCACAGACTTTGTGAAAACCTAACCTGTCATGTATTATGAGGTAGGCCATGCCGTGTGAACACGCCTGGTTCTGACAGCAGTCCAAAGAATTTTATGCTGCTGGTTTTCAGGGGCTTGTGAAACGATAGGCAAGTGCCTCAATGTACAGGGAGATTATGTTGAGAAATAAAAGAATTTTTCAAATCAGTACTCTTATTTGTTTAAGTTCTATATCCATTTGTAACTTACTTATTGACTTACCCTCATGCAATGCACTTTGTCTCATAGAGCTCAATTCATCTCAGATATGATTATTCAAAAGAGTAGCCTAATTTAGAAAGATCCTGCACTTCTAACACAACACGGCACTGCAACGTTTACGTGACCATCACACACTTCTCAGGTTTGTCAGCACCTTATTACCCTGGCTTCTTATGTGGCAACTTTGTTCTGAGTGATCTACTATTATTTTTTATCCTTATAAAGGTCATCACCTAACCTAAATCTTGGTCAACAATGAACAATGCCTTTCATATAAAAGTTGTCAACAACAATGATGTGTATATTTTCTTATATGCAAACAACACGTTATTTCTAAAATAATTACAATACAATAAATAAAGTAACCTTCATGAACATGTTAAATGTCTATGTGTGATAAACTTCACCAGATCTACTCACAGTGCAGAACTACAGACTCTGAACCATCCGTAACACATATAACTATCCAGATATGTTGCAGTAATGGGCAAAATCAAGTGAAATTATGAGGCTGTGACAATAACACTGATGTTCAAACACTCTCTAGCTAGGTAGTCACAGGGCATAGAGAAACACCTAAACAACAATCATTATTTCTTCTTGGTTTTGTCTGTCATTCAGTACTGCGAACAGAATCTGGATCTGTTTCCATCTTCAGGTGAACAGCTGGAGATGGGTATGTTCAAAAGAGTTGAGATCAGTGCTACCTTATTCTACCATGAAGATGGAAGCAACAGGTACCCTCACAATGATGATGCTTACCTACCAAATTACATGGCATCACATCCCAAAAGACTGTGATGTAGGTATACTTAGCGTCTTTTAAGCAGCTTTATATATACACCAGAATATATTAATGTTCTGTCATTCCTTTCAAAAATCTAAGAGTAACATGAAACAAAACCTGCAACTGATACTTCAAATACACATATTTTAAATGCAGCTACATATAATTTACTTATGATTTACATAATGACTAATAGCTCAGACTGTATAGTGCTCAAGGGAAGGAGGATTACTGAACGAGTTGGACACATGAGGGAAGCAGCCTTGATCTAACCTGAGGCAGCATTCCATCATTGGTTGGAGGGACAGGGGCAAATCTAAAAATACCTCTCAGAACAGTCAGTATTAGTATTCCAGCTGAGAACTGAACTGGGGCACATCCCTAACACAAGTCAGAAGTGTTACTTGCTTGGGCCATCTTGTTCAGTAGGATATACATACAAACCATGGGAAATATAAAGATCCAACATTAAGATGATGAATATACATTTTCAGCAGATCACATATTTGTGCCAAGTCTGACAGTTTACTGAGACTATGCACATTCCACTTTTCTACACAACTGACATTTGATCACAGGTCAAATTTGGTTGCCTGTATCACTGACCTCTGTTTAGTCAGTTCATTTTGCCAAAAAATGGAACATGGTGTCAGTACAAATATAGTAACTCCCTTGTCTATTCTAAAGATGTGTACAGCACATCCATCCAAACTGTCAGTTCCTGTCCACCAAACAACATGGCATCACATTCCAGAGGACAACAGTCTTCAAGGTCACTGCCTTGATAACAGCAAGTCTCACACAGTCATATATATTTAGAAGGAAATAAGAGGCTTAAAAAAGTTATAGATATTCCTCTAACAGGCTTTCCCCAGATCAGACTTCAAAACTTCAGTGTACAGTACACTGATCAGTTACCGAACATCTGTCACTAAACTGCACAAGATCATGAAAAGTTAACACACAAGACAGACACGTCTCAGTGTGTGACAAAAATATCTTTCATCAAGTGTCGCAAAATATGGCTGCCAGGTCACTATACTATGGTTTGGCAACTAAATTTCCTGCTTGGTGTTTAAGAATTGACTTTTGGAGTTATGACAATATGATTCACTTGGGTAATGAATATTCAAAGGCATTAGAACTACCATAATTTTTGTCATATCAACTAATCCCTTTAAAATCAGTACTTTCCCCATTATCTTACGCATAGCCTCAAGGTGTTCAAGATAAACAGCACAACAGGAAGAAATGGGTCCTGCATGCCAACTGTCAGCAAAGAGAAACAGCACAGTAAAAGAAAATACTGACCCATCCTCTTCGGGTGACCAAAACGTTTGTCTGCCTATCGCTTGATCAAAAATTGTGACCCATCTTTCACCACGTCTTCAAATTTCATATAAAAGTAAAGCTATCCCTATAACAGGCCGTGGAGGCCCACAGGGTTGTGAGACGTTGAAGGTCCCACATTATCTAGACAATCTGCTCACAGATGGTGGTAAGGTTGTCAGCCTTACGTGCTGGCCTCTCTTTACCCACCAGGAAGATTCCTGGTTCTCATTTCTGTTAGACGCTGAGTCGACCCCAGGGCCATAGTGCGGCTGGAAGTATCAGGTCAATTGAAAAATCCCATGACCTCATCGGGAATCGAATCCTTGACCTTCTGGCTTGTAGCATAGTGCCTCAACTAACTATGTTACTGCGTGCCCCTCAAACTTCATATATAGTTTAGAATATTTGTTCTGTGCAATCTAACCCAACCACTAAGTGCTTTAGCAACAGTGGGAGAGGCACTGGAAAGTGAGTGCTGGAGACCAACACTGGGAGAATTTAAAAAGTTGAATTCTCACTAGAAATTATGTCACACATGGAGAATGGATTCATTACCACTTACATGCACAGAGGTTCCTCACATTGAACACCACTTAATTACATGCATATGAATATTTAATCGATTACTGAACAGATTGAAAAGTGAACACATGTAGACAGGAAATTTGTGAACACCAGAGAAACTATGCCATGTTAGAGGTCAGATAGAAATTGTGGGGGCATGTGGCTGCAGGGACAGGAGTGGCCTACCTTTCAGCTTATCAATCTGAGCCTCCAGACCACGCAACTTGTCTCGCAGACTCTTGTTCTCCAGGACCAATTTCTCTAGCTCCTGCTGCGCCTCCGTCTTGAAGTCATTGGCCACGCGAACAGTCATCAGCAGGTCTGACTGGAACTGGTCCCATTCTGTGCACTGTAACATAAAAAGCCAATACATTACCATAACTGACATACAGCTGCGCTGTTCTTCACAATAACTAACTCCACAGAGATGATGCTTTCTTGAGAAGTGACCAGCTATGCAGCTACTCAAGAATTTCCCACAACTCTATGGAACCCAAAGGTTCATTACTGTGTTCACAAGAACCCTTTACTGGTCCCTATCCTGAGACAGATGAATCAAGTTCATGTGACACCATTCTATCTAAGATTCATTTTAATATGATCCACCCACCTACATCTTGGTCTTTTTCTTTTTGGCCTTCCCACCAAAATCCTATATCCATTCCACTTCTCCCCATCTATGCTACATGTCCTGCCCATCTCATCCTCCTTGACTTGACCATTCTAATTATACTTAGCGAAGAGTTTTCTCCAACCTCCCATCACTTCATCTCTCTTCGGTCCAAATATTCTCCTCCACACCCTGTCCTCAAACACCCTCAGCTCTTCACAATAATGCTGTTTCCAACTACAATCATATGATGTGATCATCTCAGAACTTTCCATAAATCAGAGCCATACACATGAACACCAGTCTGACTGCTTAAACACACCTCCTTTGACCGCAGCCTCTTCTCGTTAGCTAGTGCCTGCTCCTGTTCTGCCAGCCTGTGCTCCACATCTCCCAGATGCCGCTGTGTTTCCGACAGGACAGCTTTGAGCTGGCGTTTGTCCTCCAGATGGCACTGACATTGCACCTGTAGCTCAGCTACTGTTTCCTGCAGGACCTGAAGCTCTCCTGTCAGCTGCTGCTTCTCCTGCAGCACCATGCTGCACTGATACTCCAGGTCACTGACAGCAGACTTGGCATTGTTGCGCATCACCTGCACAGTACATTTGCACAGGTGCACTCTGACACAGCAGAAATGAAGTCTCTAGGACACTATATTGTACTATACACTGAAACCAGAATTTCAATACACAAGTACAAAAATCACTGACATAAACACCTCATACAAATTACACACCTAGAGGGATTACAGATCTATGATGATTCAGAAGATGGGATAATTCATTCTGAGAGGGAACAGGGCTTAGCTACTGCTTCTGCCACTTATGTGGATATTTGCAAAGTCCTCCTCCCTGGACAACTGCTTTAATATGGTGCAAATGTCTGCATTTCCCGATCATTTGGAGGGCTATGCTGGCAGAATTACAGGCTTGTAGATCACCTGTGCTAGAGAGGTTGAAGGGAATGGGGCCAGGTAAAAGGTACCTAAAGGCTGGGGGTTGGGTGTGAAGCTGACAATGTACGTTAGAAACTTATAGATGGATTCTGGAGGGATCACTTATACAGGGACTAAGGAAACGGTTGCAGGCAAAGGCAAGTATTGGGGAACAGGTAACTATAAAAAAGGACAAGGTTCTTGGTGGGCCACTGAGCCAAGAAAAAAGAAAATAAATAATTTTAGGCAACATGCTGACCCACCACACATATTTACATTAAGAAAACCATTTTGTTTGATGTTTTGGCCATAAATGGTCATCCTCCAGCAGTGCGCACAAATCAAATATATAAGTATGTAGACTGTAAATACAAACTTGTTAAAATATGGAAATATATAAAAATGCAGATAAAATAGCAAATTAGATCAGATCTAACTTAACTTGCAAGGTCATATCTATAAAACTGACAACATTTGTGAGTTCATTAATATCATTCACCAGTTCACATTCTTATGTTACACTTCTGTTTTTCTCTACACAGTTTCTTCTTTGTCAGACTAAGTTCCATTATAACATTACATTCTCTTCAAGTTTGTTTCTTTTTGGACGTTCATAGTAGCTTTTCTGGAGTGAATGTTTCTAAACATGTATGCTGCTAATGCTTTTCAATTATGTGTCCTTATCATTCCCCAAACATCACAATTACATTTGCGAATGTGGCTGAACCCAGCCTGCCTCACCTTGCACTCCTCCTGCAGGTGTACGAGCTGGTCCCGCAGACGAGCCGTCTCACACTGGCTGCGAGACAGCTGTTCCTGCAGCAGGGCCACCTGACTTTCCAATGCATCCTTTTCTTTGCGGGCATTGTCCAGCAGTTCATCCAACTCTGTCTTGTCACCCAGCTCCCGAGCTTGCTCCAACTCCTCTATCTGTTTGCATAGACAATGAAGCAGATCATGCGACATGGAGCACAAAGTCTCTCAACATGCAAGGTGTAGGGCACATCTTTTTTAGTCTCTTTCACCTGCCTTAAACTCAACCTCACTTTTATCTGGTTCAATCTGTCACCACAAACAAGGCTCTGGAGACAGAATTAAGTAGCATAACCATCATGCCTCCTCTGAAGGAAACTTCAATGCCTAATTCAGTGGTTCCCAACCTGGAGGTCAGGGTGAGGCCAGTGCTTGAGATTAGCTCTTTCTAAGTGGCCCAACTGAGTAGGCGTCTTCCTTTCTCGCCTGAAGACAGAAACAGATTCAGTTTCTGAAACACTGTGTCCTCTATTACATAGAATTCCGGACGATGGAAAAAGTCCAAAACCCCAGTAATTCCATAATTATACATGAATCACTAGGTCGAGAGATGAACATTTGATCTTTCTAATGGATCAAACTACAAGAGGACGAGATGCGAACGGATCTAGTTTCTGAAATGTTGTGTTCTGTCTGGACACTAGAGAATGGACACAGTCCACCAGTTCAGGAATTCTAAGCATAACTCTCACAACCCTTCAGAACAGACTTACAATACTGGATACACAAAGCACAGTTTCAAGACACATCCACAAGCTACAGCACTTCCCAGAGCACGTTCACCAGAAACTGACCTTCGCCCTCGCATTGTCAAGCAGCGTGGTGAGGCGGCTGATCTCAATACTACGCGATGAGCTCTCTTCTTTAGCTAGGGCCAGCTCCTGATCCAGCTGCTTGCGTTCAGCATGTGTCGCATCCACTGTAGATTCCAGCAGCCGCACCGTGTCTGCCAACCGGCCCGCATCTTCTGCCTGCAGGTCAGCTGACTGTCGCAAGTCTGTGAGCTGACTGGTGAGGTCCTCAAGTTTTAGTAACAGCGACTCTCGCTCTTCCTGTGCACTCTGCAATTTCACCATGATCACCAGATTACAATCCCACCATCTTACACCAAGCTAAAACCAAGCCATAAAATTGCCATATTCTGGATAAATTAGAAACTACACCAAACTCTTCAACCCTTTCAGTGCAGCAGTAGTACATGTACTATGACTGTGCCTTGTCAGGAAACCAGCTGTTGTATACACACCACTATAAATTTAAAAATTTACAGCAAAACTACCACCTTCAGTACTGACTCAAAGCTTGTAGTTTTATGGTGCAACAGTAGTGGGGTTCGGATAATACAATGTGAAATAGTGCCACCTACAATTCTTCTTCCTTTTTATTTGCACTGCAATACTGTGTGGGCCCTGGCCTCCTTCAAGGTTTTGCAACAGCAGATTTGGGTGGGGTTGTCAGCGCCACACCCAACCCTCCAACCTGGAGGACCAGGGACTACACTCCTTTGGCCCCTACCTTTTCGCCCATCTGGCATGGGTGACCCTGCCATGAGCATATGCTCCTGCCCCCTCTCGACAACAAGGTAGCAGTCCTCATGAAAAACCACCTACAATTAGGGGTTGCATTTACTACTGCACCTCAGACTGCATGCTGTCAGTAAATTTTGCAAACACTGTAAAATAGCCTATTTCATACATTTTACCAAGCAATAGTCACCCCTGCTTTTGTTGTTCCTAGTGGCGATTCATTGCTGTGAGTCATCCAGACTTTCACGGAAAAGTTACAAAGATGTTCAGGTGTGACATTAGATATTTAGAACATAACATTCTTAAGAAATAATGTACAGACAACACACTCACAGCAAGTAAATGGGTTTCTTTCAGAGATACTTTCAGTTTACTGGCCACTAAATCCCAATGGCAAATCCTGTACAACTTTTAAAATTTCCTGCATAATAAATTCTTGTCTGTTTTGTCACCACAGAAGTTCATATAGTCACAAACATTACACATAGTATCCAGCTTATTATGCTAATATATATAATTATTTAGCTTTAAAACCTAATTCCAAATTAAATATATTTCACATAATGTGAATCTGGGCATCTAAGTAATACAGGAAGTTGGCCACAGCATAGCTCAAGCGGTTAGTTGCTGGCTTCCCACTGCGGCAGCCTGGGTTCGATCCCGGGTCTGGTCAAGTGGGATTTGTGGTGGACAAAGTGGCGCTGGGGCAGGTATTCTCCAAGTACTTCGGTTTCCCCTGCCAATCTTCATCCCACCTATTGTTCCACAGTCACCCTCACCTATCAACTGGGGTTGGTACAATAGGCGAGACATGGCTGCAGTACAAGGGACTTAGTCCCACCCCACTAGCAATAAATAAAAATAGGAAGTTGATTAGGTACACAATTTCAATGTGAGAAACAACTGTAACCAAAAATAATCAATTACTATTATTTAGGCAAGACTACATTTTACCTGACATGAATCAATTACATCACATACTCGATTTCATCCCATTCTACTCCTGTTAGTCTGCATTCCCATGTGCAGCGTTTTATGTTTATTTACTGTTTCTCAGAATATCAGGCTGTATGACATGGTACGATTTGTGACACAATTGCAATGAGTTTGTATGGAAGCGGTTGTAGCCTAATTTGTGGGGCTATACCGACATTTCCATCAGACACTGGGAGGGGGTGGAACAAAAAATTTAAACAAGCTTCACCTAGCCTCTCACATATGTCCAGTGAGTTGTGCGGACAACTTCCCAAGCTCTACCAATCATTTTGGCTAATGTTACATTGTATCATATTCGACTGTGCTCAGTGTTCATTCAGTGTATTTCCCATTCTATTCGTTCTCTACATACGGTGCAACTCCACTCAGAACAAGAGCAACCCGTGTATGAATAAAGGGCCACCACAAAATGAGTGTGGAAGTGGAAGAAACAAAGAGCAGTTTCTGAGGGCACGCATGACTGGATCTGGACTGATACCTTGAGAAGCTCGACCAGTTTCTGCTCACGCTCTGTGCAACATTCAACCTGGTCATGGTGCAGCAATAACTCCTGCAGCGTGTCAACTTTGGTGCGGCTGTCCTCCAGTTTCTCGGTCTGTCTGCACAAGGACTCCAGCAACACACTCTTTTCTTCTGTCAGTCTCTCATTGTCGGCCTGAAGCTCTGTCAGCTGGACCTGCAGGTCTGCCAACTCTTGCAGTGTTGCCTGCAGCTCCTCATTCGTGCTTCAATACAAATGGTCATTCTCACAATCAACAGTCCCTCACACATCTGCATACACAGACAAGCCTGTGATCCAACATACAGAGAGAGGGCCAGTCACACTCAAAATACTACTCTATAAACCTTTCCTTAATACCTCTTTGACATCTGACTGAACTTGAAAAACATACTCAGTTTGTGGTTTTCTGGGTCGTGACACCACGTAGACTAGTACAATGATACCAGCAGTTCAGAGGAACACCCTGCCTCCATCTTCAGGTTCAAAAGTACTAGGGTACAGACACGCTAATACAACGAATGTGGGGGGAGGGGGGGAGATGGGGCCCATCTGGAAGTATATCAACGATGAACCAGAATTGTGTGAGGCTGCTTTTGCAGTTAACAATCAAACGGTGGAGGGGCTGATGAAATGGAACAAGTTCCTCCTCCTCTCTCCCTCCTGCAGCTCTGAGTAACTATGCTCCATCTCACTCTATCTATATATCGTGGTGGCATCCTTGCCTCAGTCACTTCAGCTATGGAGATGGATGCAGTATGGTCCTCAGCAACAAGACTACATGGTATCAGAACAGAGAGAGTGCCCACCACCATACATAAAACTTATACTGCGTGTAACATACTTTGGAGAACTGTCATGTCATGTTCTCGCGGTGGCATGGCGGCATGATGTAGCCTGGCAGAAGTTCACCAACCCTGAAAATGGCCTGTTCAAGGATCTAGAATCTTTTGCTCTTCCTTGCTCCTACTGGTTCACTCAAGGTTCTACCCCTGCCCATAACCATACCATTTCGTTTTACGCTTGGCGTTTTTGCCTGCTATCTTGAAGGCAGACGTGTTGCACTATGCAGGACACCCCTCCCTCCCCAGTGGTGATGTAACACTTTCGGAGCGTCGAAGTTGCTACAGTAATAAGCCAGTCAACCCCCCGCCTCTCCCTGCGGTGATGTAACACGGGATGCTGCCGTTGCTACACAGCAGTAAACAACTCCCGACAGTGTTGCTAGCAACACGGCGCCAGGCAACAGTGATGCCTACTATGTGGCTGTTTTCTGTGTTGTCCGGAACGGGGCTAAATAAGGGGCAGCGAACGCTACTCACAGTTAATTCCAAGTTAGCCAGCAGTTAGTTCTCAAGTTCTCGAGTTATGAGTTAGCCAGGCAGTCAACCAGCATATCGCTATATCAATACGACGTGAAATTATTTGTCGCGTTATACACTAAACACGTGACAATATATATATATATATATATATATATATATATACAGGGATGGCTAGGCGTGGGGCCCTGAGCAAAACCAATATGAGCAAGGAGAACAGTGTACAAAACCTACTGCCTGTTCTCTTGTCCTCTCTGCCCTTGAAACAGAACCTTCCAGAGTCCACTGTTTCCTTCTTCTCTCTCTCCCCTGAATTTATTTTCCCACCCCGTGGTACAATCAGTGCAGTAAAAAAGGTAAAGTTGTCCCTGTGCTTAATTACTTATACACCATGCCATGAAGATGTATGGGGAGTGGAAGTATAGCTGATGATTCCTGACTTTGGCACTAGATGGAGGTGTGGTAAGCTTCATGCCTCAGCTCTTTCCCTCCTGGGGAAAGGGTCCCTGCTACCCATTGTGTAGGAGGCTGGCTAGGCCTCAGAGCTGGTCTGGACACTGTCAAGAAGAGAAGAATCCCTTGCTCCCACCAGGAACTGAACCCCAGACATTCAGCCAGTAGACACTTCCTATACTGACTGAATTACGAGTATTTCAGCTATGCAATCAAAGCCATTATTCCTCCTCATCTCTCTACTCTTGAAACTTTCCACTGAAGGGCCTCAGGTTCCTTCACTGTTCTTACTCCTACTGGTTTGTTTAGGGCTTTGGCCCTGCTCCTGTCTCTTCCTACATTTGAACCACCATGTTCAAATTACGCTTCTAACCCAAAGATCCATAAACTTATCCAGGCTAAACAGTACAACATTGCAAAAGACTAGTACTCCTCATGGTTACTGCCATGAGAACTGCCAGTATCACATTCTGCAGACATGCCACACACCTGTAATGAGTCTCCTCCATCTGCATGATGCGGTCCTGGAGACAGGCTACCGACACTTCACTTAGGCTGCTGTTGGACTGTTTATCCCAGTCTGGGGTGGAGCAAGAGGTGTCTGCCAGGGTGATGTCACCCTGTAAGTCTGTGGCCATCATGGAGGCAGGTGCTGAACTGTGCTGCCGACCTGTGGTGGCCAGCAGAAGCTGTTCCTTCTCAGAGTCTGACAGGGGCGAATGGGCCACGTTGTGAAGACGAGCTCGCAGAGAACTGTTCTCTGCATTCAGCTGCTCAAGTTCCGTTTGCTGGTCCTGTGCAAAATACCTCACAAGCTCAAGCATATGTTCTGTGAGCGAGAGTCCCAACTTTACACAAGACACTTGCTGCAAACAGAACTAGACCTCTGTCTCAAAACTACAGTGCGTACAATCAAGTGCGTGCTGCGGCTGCAATTTGCCGTGAGTCATACCACCGCAGAACGGATGCAGTCGCGGGGAGGAGTTGCAACTCCTCCCCGCTGCATCCATTCTGCGGTGGTATGACTCACGGCAAATTGCAGCCGCGGCGCGCACTTGATTGTACGCACTGTACTACACATCAAACACAGTACATATGTAACTAATTAATCCAATGGAGCAGAGTTCTCCTTTACAAGCTCCCTATCCTGAGCCAGATGAATCCAGTTCACACCCTCCCATCCTCTTCCTTTAAGATCAATTTTAACATTATCTTCTCAGATGCCTAGGTCTTACACATGGTCTTCCTTCAGGTTTATGTACCCAAACTCATGCATTTCCTTTTTCAAACATTTGTGTTACATGCCCCACCCAACACATCCTCTTTGATGTCATGATCTTAACAATATTATCAGAGGAATATAGGTTATGAAATTCCTCATTACATAATTTTCTCCAGACTCCTGTCACTTCCCTCCCTCTCAGATCCAAATATTGTTCTCAGAACTCTGTTCTCAACACCCTCAGTCTGTGTTCTTCTCTCAATGTGAAAGACCTATGTTTCATACACATACAAAACTACAGGCAAAATTACAGTTTTGTATATTTTGAACATTGTTTCTAGATGGCAGATGGGAAGACAAATGGTTCTAAACTGAACTGTACCAAGCATTATCCAAATTTAATCTGGTCTCTATTTCTTCACGAATGCAATTCTGATTTGATTGTGTGGTTCCAAAATATCTGAACTTGGAGGTACCTTTACAACATCATTTGAAAGTTACTAGATTCTATTTTTAACATATGACAGGAGCCAACACTGCCATATGGAGACCTCACTGAACACAACGAACCTTCCTTCTGTAGGGTACCTATTAATGGTTTAGTGTATCTCTAGATGTTTCCGACGAACTACAATGGTGTTCCATGCACTTACGTACCATACCATGAAACATATACGGGGCATGGGGTTAATCTCCTATGCAGTTTGACCTTGGTATTAGAGGGGTGTCAGTCGTTAACATCGTATTGCACGCAAAGTCACCAGTGTGTGATATCATAGTTGGTTGAGGCACGATTCTACAAGCAGGAAGGTCGCGAGTTCGATTCCCAATGGGGTCCCGGGGCTTTTTCTTTCTTTTTCAAATTTACCTAATCCTTCCAACTGCATTATGGCCCTGGGGCTGACTCAGCCTCTAACAGAAATTAGTGCTAGGAATATTTCTGGGGGTAAAGGGCTGCTGGTGCGTAAGGCTGACACCTCAGCACCATCCGTGAGCCAACAGCCTAGAAACTGCAGGAATCTCAATGTCTCACAACCCTATGAGCCTTCACAGCCTGTTACAGGGACAGTTTTACTCACTAGACAGAAGACATGGTTTGCTCACATATAGCATTCATCACGTCGACAATTCTCTAACAACTTTCATGATCTTTCTCAATATCATGGCTTTAGTGAAAACAGATGCTTACATTTGCATAGCTCAGGAAGTGAGCTGGGATAGCTCAGTCAGTATAGTTACTAGGCCATAAGCTGGAAAACTGAGGAATTACGGTTCAATTTCTGATAGGAGTGAACATTATTCTTCAGCACCCAGATTAATACTAGGACTCAACCAACCTCCTATACAGTTGTTACCTGGGTCTTCATGTAACTGCCCACACATATCTAGTGTTCAGGTTAAGAACTGGTAGAGCCATATCTCCATTCCTCTTGTTTATGGCACGATTATTAATTATGCACAGCGAGAATTTTCTCTTCACAATTTGGCACAAAACTGGCCAGAAGTGATATTAAATGCTAAGCCTACGTACGTACTGCAGAGTGTAAACACTGTAGTTGCAGCAGTGAAGATTAAAGATGAGAGTTAACGAGACTGCTGCAGACAGCTCCGTGCTTTTGTCGGACTTCAATATGAGACACAAATATAGAAATTTCAACAAACCTGCAGCTTCTGCACTTCACTGCGGAGAGCCATAACCTCACCCTCGTACTTTGTCAGCTCCATCACTTTGTCCTCCAGGGCAAGTTTCTCTTGCGTGATGCGTTCCAGTTCCTGCTGTACAGTTTCTAGTTCCACCATGGCACCATCAACAGACTTGCTGGACGATGACACTTTGTGGTGCTTACTGTCCAGACTACTGACAGAACCAGCTCCACGCAATGGCTGCTAACAATGCAATTTTTTAATGCTTAATTTTAATTCTGTAGGTAGAAATTTCATGTAATTTTTACCAAACATTAACAAACCTGACAGATACTGTCTTTGATATTATTATTCAGAACGATGTAGGATCTGGGTTTTCTCACAACAGCAGTTACAAAGAGTACCATCTTCTGGGATATAATGTCATGTAGTCTGCCGAGAGTGAACAGACGTTTCGGAGGAACTTATCGCCTCCATCTTCAGGGTTGGGAGCAAGATACCAGCGTGAATGCAGGTGGCAAAGTTGATGGGGGTGATATGTTGCTCTGAAACTCCGGTTGACTTTCAACGGACTACAGGGTTATACACATATATCCAAGAAGATAGTGCTCTTAATAAAATGTTATTCTTGTATATACACAATACACTGTGACTTCCTGACAACTTGCTGCAAATTGCTGAGCTGTGTGTCAGGCTCTTCCACCTTGGTGATTGAACAATTTGTCGAAACTGTCACATGATAACACTGTACAAGCTCTGTACGTTAATAACTAAGTAGGGCAGTGTGGATAGGCATGACTTCTTTTGTAAAGGCATGTCTGGCTGCAGAATATTTGTTGGAATTATAAACTCAACCAACATTTTCTGACCCCTCTTCACAGGTAATGTTTTACATATAATTATGTCTTTTAATTTTTATATTACGGTTATTTCAGTTTTAACCTGTTCAAGTATTATATTAACCGCCTGTTCAACATTAAAAAAGAATCAACATTTTATCCACACCACTTATTTACGTTTCATATCATTCGCAGAATTAACAGCAATTGCTTTCTTTTGAAGCATTAACTTACTGGACTTTCTGGTCTTTGTGTGTGGTGTTGGATTTTGAGACCAGACAGGGGCAATGTTCGTTTTTCAGAGTTTCAACAAACCCTGCAGTTCCATTTCAGAGTTAATGCCTTGGGGATAGGACTGGGCTTTGTAATTGGAGGGGGGGGGGAGACCCAAGTTACCTGTGAGACAACAAATAAATTTGTAGTACCATTCAGATGAATTTCAGGCTTCAGTCAAGTACATCTTTCGGTTTCAATGCCAAGGTACGAGTATGTGTATACTATATATATGTGTTACTTATGATGAACTTGCAAAATGATTTGTACTACTAAGAAAGGTTTGTGTAACACATGATACTGCAGGGAAAAATAATGTAAACTCCTCACTTCTGTACATGTAACGTTATATGAGAAGTCTTCTAGTTGGGGGACCTTGCCTAAGATGTGAAACATGTAACTGGGTCAATTTAATTTACAGTTTCCTAGACTTGCAGCTTTCATGTAGCAGTTGTTCTGCATCAAAATGATGGTAATGTTAACGCTGTTAGGAGAACAGGCTGTTGTCAGAAGTTAGATTAAATCCCAGTAACAGGTCAGGGGCATAGGTATGTCAAAATGTTTAAGATAAACTCAAATTCATCACCTGTCTCTGAAAGTCTATTGCTGTTCTGTTGTAACTGGGGCTCAACCAGCAGATGGTGGCCCCAGGATCTGTCTTCTTCGCACCCCAACTCACCTGCTGTTGCTGCTGGTGGGGGGTAGCCCCCCTCTTGCCGTTCTGGTGGAGGCCCTTGCCGCCGCCCCCAGGGCCCTGTCTGCGAAACAAGGATTTGAACTTCATCATTTTGCAGGTGACCACTAAAGGCACATTAACGCGTCCATCTCTCCGAGCACCACAGAACCAACTGACCCCCTTATGCTTGCTCGGGTTCGAGTCTCCGCCCCACACACAACAAGTGGTTTGTTATCTCGAGGCGCGGTGTTGCCGCACGGCCCTGTGCTGGTGACGTGGTGGTTTATCTCATGACGCCACAGAATTCCAGTCACGCGGTCGTCACGTTACTGTGGCGTAACGGAGTACACCTATTTGCCGCGGTAGAACAGCGCTTNAGGTCAGACGACAAGATCGTGCCCGTTTCCTCTACCTTACCCACACCTCTGCACAAGTAAACACTGGGCATGTGACACCATGTGAATTCTTGTAATTTATTTAACGACTGTTAATAACTCAGGCTACAGAGCGTCGAATGTGCGGACGGTGGCGAATGAATGTGGGAGGAAGCAGTCGTGGCCTGTCTTTAATGTACTATCACATGGAGTGACTATAGACCTATAGAGTACCCTCTTTCCTTCGGGTTTCCTTACCAAAACTCTGTACGCACTTCTCATTCTCACTAAGGGTACATTCCCCGCCCATCGCATCCTCTTTGATCTGACATCGAATGTGAATACGAATTATAAAGCTGTTCACTACACAACTTCCTCCAGTCTCCTGTTACGACCCCTCACTTTGGCCCAAATGTTGTCACCATCACAGTGGAACCATCAGGGGGCCCGAGAAAGTTTCACATCTCACGTGCCTTCACCGCCAAGTACCGACGTACAGTCGGCAAAATAGCTAAATGTTGTAACTTACCTAAGGAGTCTGGAAACGGGGGGTGTTCGGCCCACTACACGAGGGGTCTTGCCCCTACTGTTGACCGAAGTGCCGCCTCGCAGTCTGCAACACAAAACACGCACATGTGTTGTAAAAATCCGAAAACGTGTCAGCACTTAAAAATGCGGGTTCGAAACATTTTAAAGGCAGAATAAACTGGATATGTTATGTCACACGCTGCCACGCTGTCATTCGGTGGTTGGGGCTAGGTTTCGTGCGATGAAGCACGCGTCAAGTTCTTGGGGATGGGACAAATTCGTAGTACGTATTTAGGACACGGAACTATTGTGGCATGACGCCTGAAAGTCGGAATAGCTGAGCCAGAGTAGATGTGCATTACTAGGCAACGACTCGGCAAACAGGTTCCCTCGGAAATGAACACGCACGCCACAACAGAAGTACCGTTTCTATGCAAAAGCGAAGTAACACATACCTCTATAACAACAGAGGAACTGTTAGGAAACGGTGTTTTCTATTGGATCCGCCCCGAGGCAGTCGAAGATGACTGAGCAGAGATAGTTGGTAGTTGCAGCAGAGAACGGGATTGAGAGTTCCGGGGTTCGCAGTTGGCAGATGAGGGAGGAATTGAGAGGGTTCAGTTGAGAGCTTGAAGTCCGGCAGTGAAGAGAAGTCTTTATGTGGGGTGTGTGATTCAGTGAGACTGTTATAGTTCCTCTGTTAAAATCCGTTACCAGGAAGCGACTAGTGGAGAGTGTAACACAACTGAGGACACTAGAGTCGGTGTAACAGTGAACTGTAAAGTGCGGAGATAAGCGGTAGCGCTCCATTACCTGCAGTTACGAGCGTGGTGTGTATAGTGTGTCAATAAATCCAACCATCCACGCCACACCCCGTCTAATAGTCACCCCTACACCTGACAGTATGTTCCAGGTATTCAAGGAAGATGATGATTCGAAGTATCTAGAGAAATAGGCACATGACTAGAATTTAGGAAATGTGACAAATTCCATACATTTAGGAAATAAGATACACCGATTTAGCGAAGAAGACCCATCTAAACATTCCCTGCATTTAAGAAACTTCTGTATGTCCCATGAATCTAAGAAAGAAGATACGTCGAAGGCCTAACAATACTATGCTGTATGATACGATTACAAACATTTGCAAAGAGGGCAAATTCTAAGTGTCTGGGAGTTCTCACACCGGTGACTATGAAGAGAATGCGATTCTGGGTTGTAACGTCATGTTGTTCGCAAATATTTCGGAAGAACGTACTGTCTCCGTCTTCAGGGTAGAAGCCAAGCGACCAGCAAGCCGGCATTGGTGAACTTCTACTGGACTACATGGCGTTACATCCCAGAAGATGATAATCTTCATGTTTACGGCTGCGAGAACCTCAAATCCAGCATGATGAGGCTTACTTTGTTTATTGTTATTACTGATGTCATCAGAGAGCGACGCGGATCGTCTCGTTATTAGCGTAAAGTTATTGGATTGAACCAAATTCGCCCCACCGGAGAGCTCGTTGAGCACACAGGATTTTCCTTCGGTAACGGCGCATGCTCAATGTGTGACGTACTTCCAAATATGTTTCTGTGGGGTTACTGTCTTTGTACACCATGTTAGGTGAGTCCCTTGTCATCACGGCACGTCCGTAGCCGCCAATAATCTGAATAAACAGTCACGGACAGCCGACAAGAGGCGGTCCCCATATTTGGGGGTTGGGCGTGTGGCTAACAACTCCTCACCGTAAAATATAAGCTTCTTGTGAAAATATCACAAGAACCCTCGGACCTGGACGAATTCCTTGGATAAACGACCTAAGCGAAGGAAAATGGACATGCGATTTGGTACAGAATAATATGGATCCTAGAGAGTTGGGATGGGATGGGATGGTATGGACTGGATCGATCTGGCTCAGGATAGGGACCAGTGGAAGGCTCTTGTGAAGACGGTAATGAGCCTTCAGGTTCAATAAAATGTTGGGAAGTTCTTCAGTAGCTGCAGAGCTGGCAGCTTCGCAAGAAGGATTCAGCTCCATGAATGAGTGACAGCCTGTACATTTCAGACGGTGCAAAGAGACTTGGCGTGAACATGGCACTCAGCAGCAGACAGACCTACTACACGATAAGGCGGTGCTGAGAATGTGCTGTGCAGATAACAAGGCGTGCTGACAGACATGTTAATGAACAGACCACGAGAAACGAACAGGAATGTGCTAACCTGAATTGTAACAGCAGAGAACTGGGTTCAACGCTGGACGATTTCTCTCGCCTTACGACACACTGCGATCTCATCCTTGTCAAAAAGTGTGACACGGTTCTGGCACAAGTACACAGCCACGCATCGCCACTAATTAGAGCAAATCGCAGCGTTACGCTCATGAACTGCTATTATGGAGGGGCTGTATTCATTTGGCTTACCTCAGGCCGCCTGGAATTCGCGTGACGACGCCTAGAAGTTCCTCATACTGCAAAAATACGAGTGTTGTTAACCCTTCAAAGTCTAGTGGTTCCTATACGTACCACAAGCTTTAACATACTAAAACTCTATATTCTCTCCACAGAGTGTATCTATGTGTTCCGTTTGGCTCTCCTAATAAACAGAGACTGTTTCCCTACACAGCATTAACCGGCTGGTCTTTCTAGCGGAGACGTAATGTTTCCTGTGAGGTACGGACTGAACATACTAAAACTCTGCATTCTGCCCACAGAGTGTATCTGTGTGTTCCGTATGGCTCTCACAGTAAACAGCATTAACCGGCTGGGCTTTGTAGCGGTGACGTAATGAGTTTCCTGTGAGGCACGGACTGAATCTTTATATACTGTGACACGATGCCTGAAAGCCGGAATAGTGCATTGCTGAACAACGGCTCCCCAGGCAAGTTTCCGCAGCAACGAAATAAACACAGAAGAACTGTTAGAATGAGTTACTTACATTCGGTTCGCCCCGAAGTTATGAAAATGGGACACGTAATTGATTCGAGGGTCACTCTTCGTTTGTCGTTCGTAAGAGAGTTCAATAGTTCAGTTCAGTATCTGAGATGAGTTGAGTGTTCATTTGTGGAGTGTTAACCAGCGGATAACGGAAGCTGAAGAAGTGATCGATTCGTAAATCGGAATGAAGTCGGCCACAGTAGAAGAGAAGACACTCGTAGTCCTGTAAGGAATGGAGCGAGTCTTAGGCACTCATAGACCGTGAGCTGTTATACCTGATTGTAATTAAGAGTGTCTGTAACAGAAGGCGTTAATATATCCAACAATCCAACACAGAACCCGTCATTATTAGTCACGGAACCCCGGACACGTACCTTCTTTTAGGGGTTAATTGTATGGTATATGCGGGGCCATCGACTGTAACATGTTTCGAGGCTAAGGAATATGGGGCAGTCGGTCGGGTAAATTTCTTTCGGCCCTCGCCAGCAGAGTAATTCTTGGTTTTTGGCCCTGTTGGGATCCATGACCGAATTTCTGTTCGCTCCTAGAGTTTTACGTGTTTTGAAATGGGG